TTAAGATAATACAAAATGTAAGAGAATTTTACTATATATACCAAAGATATTACTATATATACCAAAGATATTACTAGAACCGATTAAATTGATTCGTTAAGTTTCAACACGTAGATAATATATTCTGATAGGGTGGAACTAGAAATGTTTTCACAGGTGGGTTAACTAAAGTTATTAGCTTTGTATACATTAAATCATATAAACCACACTAGTTCGCCAACGAGGTCTAGCCCAGTGGATAATGGCTTTGACTTCCAAACCATTGGTCTTATGTCTAAATCTCCATGACACCTCGGTAGTGTGTGCGTGTGAGAAACCCTCACCCCCTTGTAGTTTAGATTATTGCTCGTATTTTTTTTTATTAAAAATAATACACACTAGTTCATAGTTCAATTGACTAATTTCCAATAAGTTTTTTTCCTTCTTATATAAGCGATATTGGATGATGGGGAAATCGAACTTAGGATCTTGAGTGCAAAGCTAAATGTTAATTTCCAATCAGCTTTAACTTCTAACAACAACAAAAAAGCTTTAACTTAAAACAAATACATATTAAATGCAACCAAAAAACACATATTATCAAAATGAAAATATGTTCAACAACATAATTGAAAGTGTACCTATTTTAATATGTATGTTTATTGATGCTCTGCAACTAAATTCATAAAAACTTTGGTTTTTATTTATTTATAACTTAATAGGTTAGTACATATTCGGCTATATATAAAACAAGTTAATTATATATATATGATTTTTTATCCCCGAAATCTCCCTGGGTTATAGCCCAGTATAGCCCTAGGAGTAGTTTCGCCCATGGATATCATCCTTAAAGAGTAAAGCTATTTAGACACACAACATTGACTATTTTAGCTGACCACCTTATGTGGCAGCTGATGTATCATACCATATCAATTAACGAATGTTACTAGTGTATTATACCATTTTATTTATTCTCTGTTCAATAATTCTTTTTAAAAACAATTTAAAAACTCTAGTGTTCAAGTGGCCTCACATCTGTTCTCAACTCTTTCTTGCGTCTCCAGCACCTCCAACACTCCCTTCCTCCATTGTTATTGCATTATAATAGGAGTATCGCTAGAACATGGCTGAGAGTTGGAGTCCCCTCAATTACCCAGATATATAACTGATGCTTTTAGCCCCAGAAAGATACATTGAAATTGTAGTGATGAGGAACTTAATCTTGAAGAAACCTGAGAGAGAGAGAGAGAGAGAGAGAGAGAGAGAGAGAGAGAGAGAGAGAGGTTATGGGTAAAGGGGAGATGAAGATAATTGGTTATAAAGGAGCACCGTCCGATTTTCTTAAATCATATTCTTCCCTCCCATTTTCTTCATCCTGATCCAGGTCAACTTTCCCAATAACATAAACACACACTATAAATATAAATAATTCATTCATTCAACCTAGTTAGATGATCTTCAGAACTAATCATTGTTTTGCTGGAAACCAATTATTAATTGTTAGTGCTATTATTTTGGATGAAGGGAGTGCTGAAGGTGCTGAAGATGCGAGGAAGAGTTGAAAACAGACATGAGGCCACTTGCAGGGACACTAGGGTTTTTATTTTATTTTAAAGATATTGAAAAGAGAATAAATTCAAAATATAATACACATGGCAATATTCATTAATTAACATGACATGACCCGCATAATGTGGTTAACTAAAATTAATTATCAATATTATGTGTCTAAATAACATGTATTTAGTCTAAAACCAACTGGAAGTGTATGGAAAGGCTCAAGTGCATGCATGCACTAATATAAAGTAATATTTTTTTTACCATATTTATGTTACATCATTATCACTAATTAGTGTCAGCAAATTGCATTGCTTAGACATGAGAAATTTAAAAAAGTTAATCTGTCGGTGGGCAGAAGAAAAGATGGCACAAATTATTCAATGCATTTACATTATTTAGTACCCTGATCAACTAATAATCGCGATTGACTGATTGACAATGTTGAAAATCCAAGGAATCATAGTCAAAGATTTTTAGGGTAAGTTCCAAAATGCAAACAGTAAAAGTTTGTTTCCGACATCTAATATAGAATTGTATGTAACAATTTTTTGTTCGGATGTTAAAAAAAGTCTCGAGCTCGAATCTTCTTCTTTCACTAAATGTAATGAAAAAGAAAGTACTACAAATAAAAATTTGACAACATAAAACGCTAAACCATACCAGGGGGGATCAGAGTGAGGACCACATTTTGTGAAATATGAACGTGATCCATCCAAACCGAACCTTGAATGATGAAACTACATATCCACAGAAGAAATGTTTGAAGCTTGTACCTATTAGACCAATCATTATTCTTCCACAAACACACCGACAAAAGGTGGGTTCCATGTATTCTATTCCAACCCATCTTTTACTTTTTCTAACTTTAAATATATATTTTTTTTTGGGGCAAAAAATATGCATAATTTTCTAATGTCTGTGGGGTTAACATTTACAATGATTCTATAATTTGGTAAGGCCTGGCGGTGCAAAGGCAGCTTTTGATTGAGTCACAAAGCAGAGACAAAGATAAATGGTATCTTATTCCTTACTCTTCTTTTTTATTTATTTATTATTATAGAGAGAGAAGCAACTTGGGTCGATAGAGTCGAAAAGATTAAGGCCCCTCTCTCACTTTCACCATGCCCACTTGCCTCATCAAGTATAGTGGAATAGGAGATAATTTTTTTTTACCTTCCCCTCACCCAAAAATCAAAGTCATTAGTGTTAACTTGATATACATTCAAATTTAGTGACTGCCAAAAAATACCCCGAACATCTTGTTTGAGCTCGCAAGGTTGGATCGGTTCAAAAATGCCCCACTCGAAATACCATTTTGTTAATCAACAAAAGCAACAAACTTTCGTTCATAAGATTTTGTTAACTTCTTTTAACAACTTAAACTATAGGTTCCCAATGGATAAAAATAGTTGGATTTTTTTTTGGGTCATTAAAAAAAATAGTTGGAATTTGTTAAAGTAGTAGAGTACAAAGCAATTCTGAGAGAGAATAATTTCCACATTGTATTTTTCTGACAAAGCTGCTACCCTTTCTTGCTTAAGGTGCAGTAGTTTATACAGACAAGATAAAAAGTAAAAACGACCAAGAGATAAATATCTTCTTTTCTTTTGACAACTCCAACAAGGACCAAAACCACAAGTTCTTATTTTCTCAATAATCTAAAGTGACAAGTCTCATCCAGATAACATCATGTTTTGTTGTGAAACCAGACTGCCAACCAGCAGAGGTTGCATTATGCATGGCTGTCAAACAAGGACATCTACATATATAATAATGATTGATTATATGATTTTTGGTCTTTTCTTGGGTTTGCTCATGGAACCTGCCATGCAAGTATTATGCAATACTTCACCTGCCCTTTTGTTGTTGTTCTTCTAATTCCATAGTATCTTATGGTTCAGTCAATTTGACTAAACCTGGATTATGAAGATATTTACTAACCTAAACCAAATTTCCTATGATTTAATTGATTCCCAGAAAGTGTTACTTCAACTTTTTGAAAAGTTTGTATCTGTTTGTCTAAGATCACATGCATCCTATCCTCAACGAGTTTGAGACCTGTCAATCCTCAATCCCCACTTCTTAGGGAATCATACGTTATTCATACATGGGATCATATTGCTTGCAATTATTCCCAATCCTAAATTCATCGTGTAAATTTGGATAACGTTACCATACGAAGGTTTTATAGCTTTAGTAGTAAAAATTTTACTAATACATTCACAACAAAAGTTCGACTTTTACCTTCGCCTATGTCCTCTCCCCTACCCCCTCTCTCAAAACCTACATATTCGAATAGGCACTAAATTTTTTAGCATGTTTAATAAGCCATAAGATCTAAATAACAAATATGAAAAAAAACCCAGTTCAAATAGAGAAGTGATCGATATTGTTGAATATTGATCAGTTTCAACAACATACAACGTTCACATTATTGCCATGATCATCTTAATGAGAGCACCAATCTACAACTAAATGCCATCAGAGCCACAAGAGTCGGACAGCTACATGCACCACCACCCCTCTTTATCACCACCATCACTAACTAGACCCCTGTCATTAGGACCAGCACAAGAGTCCGATAGCTATACCACCAGAGTCATTAGGACCAGCTCACAACAACATTGGTAGCTGCTGTCACAATTGCCTAGTGCTACCGCCACTATTAAATAGTAATACTACTGCCGTCGTTGTCCCGGTCCTCTTCATATCGTCATTGCAACTGTGCTCGTAGACAAGGAAACTATGTATCCGGTGGCCTTCGCTGCCACCATTTATTGCACCATTATTATCTCCGACAGTAGCTATTTGACGATTTTATCAAAATACAAATACTAGAATTACTTTTTCAGCTCTTAGAAATTTAGCAATCATAAGTCAGTATTCAATGTTTAATTTTCATTTTTGTCAAACAAACTCTAAGACTTTGGTCATCTGGGACCTCTTGACATTCTTTGACAGACATTTGGTGCTTACATCTACTTGTTTCGGCATACAAACCCTGTTGTTATCCACCTGAGGCCCTTCAGAACGACCGCTTCTCAATTCTACAGGGCCCAAAGTTATTGGACCAGCAACAGCTTATGTTTTGTCTCATATATATTTTTTTATTGGACCAGTAACTGCTTATGTTTCCTCAATTTCAACATTTGCAGGCAAGTATACCTTCATTTTAAAGCTGGCCCTAGATTTTATTTTCAACATAGAGTAAGTACATGACTCCAGTCACCAAGCTAGCATACAAAATAAAAGGAATTAATGTTTGTCCTTCAAATCCATATATCATGGTGAACATGAATGCTCTTAAAGAAAATAACAGATGTTCTCTTTTATGATAGTACTAGATTTCAGACACAACCACACATAACAACAAAGTTCAATCACATTAGGGAATAGACCATGGACCACCTTAAATACCAGATGCATAAGTACTTGATTCAATAAAAACCTTTGCCAAAGAACTATTGAGTGACAAGGTCAGAAGAACCTATTATAGGGGCCAATACAAGTTGGGCCTCCGCCACCCGGAGCAAGCCAGTTGCCAATCTGCTTGTCATATCCTCCACAGACACCTTCACTACATCCCTCCTCATGCCAATGTCCGCAGCGTACCTACTAGCGCAGTACATTGTAACGGCTGTTGCTGCCATCCCATAAACATTGGTGGTAACAAGACGCAATGGTGTGGATAAAATGGCTGCAAGAGGTCCCCCTATTATAGATACTGCTTGTCCGCTTTGGCCAATTGTTCCTTGATCCAGAACAAGAAGCCCCGTTTTGCAGTAAATAGCAAAGTCTTCACAATTTTTCTTAAATACGTTATAACAACCAAAGCCATTGTTGAGCAAGTATTTTGCTCGATGGACGACGACATCATCTGGATCCGAGACTGCAAGAGTGCAGGTTCCCCCACGTGCTTTTGCAATAAAGAGAGCAGGGTTGACAGCATATTCAAAACGATACAAGACACCCCCTGCAAGAAAGCAGTTCAGGCACGAGGAGAGAACCCCACTTCCCTCTTCCCGTGGGGTGCAAACTTGGCAGGGCTGTTGAGGTCGGGCTGGCCCTGAGCTAACCAAGAGAGCATCCAGCATTGTCCCTGTTCCTACTTCTTGCCCACGCCTGGTGAAATGAACGACTGTGTCATCCCCTACAAAGATGCCTGTTCTTGCACAAATAGGATATTTATCAACAAATAGATAAAAAGAACACGTAATTAAGCAAACTGTTCATATTATAACTGAGTTGTATCAGAAAATTAGAGGTAATGGACAATTCCTGAACTCCAAATGAGTTTTGCCTACCCTGATAAAGAAAATAGGCCCTCTTTAAAAATGCTTTTTACTTGTAAACACACAGAGACACCCCCTTGCACAAAACGATCCATGACAATTCTTACACACCCAATTTCTGAATGAATAACCTACTGCATCAGCCATCAGGCATCGCCCCTACTCTTCAATCTATTGAGCATATCACTTAAAAAGATCTGACATAGCTCAAATTAAAAGAGGCAGGTAATTGCTTGGGAAATTAAACTATTGTCACATTATCAAATCATTTATCTTTTCCAAAAATCTTTATTAGAAGGCTTATGGGGCTCAAAGTTCCCATCTTTCCCATGCTTCAGCCTTCAGCTACCCCAAAACTTGAAACTGGGACTTGGGTTACCAACTACATCTGCCATTGCAGCATATGATCATTACCTATACCTCATCTACCTCCTTTAGATATATATTGCCTTTTAATTACACAAAAGCCTTAGATTCCACAATCATTGCATATGAAGTTGATACAAACTAATCGCTCTAACATGCAAACCAAATAATTTATATGCTTAAAAAAAAGGAAGGAAACTTGACACATTTAATCAATGAAGAAAAATGGGGTAGGTAAGGAAAAGAGAGATAACCATGATGAGCATAGATATAGGCAGTCCTCCAAGAGTAGATGTGATCCCCAGGCTTCAGGCTCCCCTTATCCACTCTGCATCAAATTATTTCACAACACAAAAACATTTCACTTCCATTTGCCACGAATTCTCAGCACCCAAAACAGAAATTGCAATCTTTACTTAAAAAAATTCAAAAAATATAAAAAAAGATGGAACATACCTGTTGGAGAGCAGACCCATCTCTCTCTTTTCCCTTCTATTTTCTCAGAAAAGCAAGAAATGAAATCCTTCCTGGGGAATTTGATTCTTCAAATCGATTGGGAGTTACAGGAAAAAAGGAAGAAGGAATAAAAAGCGACACGAGTACGTTCCTATTCGAAACGAGCAACTCGAATACTTAAGGTTCGAGAACGGGGACAGCTGTGGCGGGTTTTCCACGTGTCCGACACGGTTTGATGGCATATGCAGCCTCTGCAGCAGAGTCTTCGGAACAATACCGACAGAGGCCCAGGTAGGCTTTCATTTCCAGCCCAAGTTTTTTGGTCAATTCCAGCCCAAGTTCATGTTGGATTATTTTTTGCTGGGACTCTTTTAGGTCATTGGTTTGGGCCAATGGATCTACATCCTTAACAGCTTTTGGAAATACTCAAAAGTGTGCAAGCCCTATGTTGGAGCACACATTTTCTGATCTGCACACATCAGTATATGTAGGTTAGGCCAATTGGCTAAGGTATTGTGCCCGCCCTTTGTACTCAAGTTTGATCACATTCTCCATACATTAGAGTAGTTAGAATATCACTTTGTCAATAAATAAAAATATATATCTTTGTAGGGCCCACTTCGTATTGTATTTCACTAATTAAAACCATCTATTTTGTAGATACTGATTCAAAAATCATCTCTACAAAAAATCATTTGAATCCGATAGCATTTGACCACTCAATTGAATTATTGAAATTTTAGTACTTTTTTGAAGCACCGTGTTCATTGATTTTATAGAACACAATCATATATCGAAACGGCTTCCAATTTGTCTAATTTTTTGCAAGGATGATCTATGAATGTAGACTTAAAAAATAGATGGTTTGGATCGTTGAAAAAAAATTTCGTAGGGAACCTATAGGGTGTCCCTCAAATAAATTTGAGGGATCCCTCAAGTTAACAAACTTTAGGAGTGGGGCAATATTGTGGTGTTAGCTAAGGACATTCTAACCGTCAAGTTAACAAACTTAGTAAAATTGAACTAAAACGATAGATTTAGAGCTCTAAGGCCTCATTTGGTGGCTCGGCTTGGACTGGATTAGAGTTCAGGTCAGGCTAGTCCTTATGAGTCCCACTTGTTCAATTTAATTGAAATAATTCACTCGAATCACACCACCAAACGTGACCTTGATATTACATGGAATGGAAGAATCCTTGTTTAACCAAGAGATTGTATAGACTTTTCAGTTTGCACTATGAATGAGGAGTAAAAGGAGACCAATGCGGACAAGTTTCTTGCAAGAGGGGGAGAAGTCCGAAACAAGTTACCTCCTCTCCCAAAGTTCCAAAAGATCTTCCTTCTTTTGGTTGGGGGCTCTCAACCCTTTTACCTTGGGTCCAAAATGATGTTTAGTATGCACAAATCCAAATAAACTAGTATTATTTTTTTTTTTTTTTTTTTTTTTTTTTTTTTTTTTATTGATTGAAGTAAGCCTAAACGAAACGAAAAATGCTTTAATCATATCCCAAATTTTCTTTCCCAACCTCATTGCATCGAAAAATAACAACTTTGTCGACCTAATCTAAATCTACGGCATGAGTTGAAGTCGGCCTTGAGGTCAACAAGTGATGATCAGGTCCACAAGTGATGGATTATGGAACATCCACGATATTATGACATCATTGACATGGGTGGTGAAGAACACAGGGGACAAATAATGGTGGGTTCACACTTACAGCAGCCCACACAGTCAATAGAGAGAGACAGCAAACCATTCATTTTCATATGCGATTTTCAACAGTTCGGGGATGACTAAGAAAACTTCCTGCTAGGCGGTCATCTCTTTCAAAGTTGTCATGCAATTATTATCCAGCGAAGGAGCTAGAAATAAATTTATATTTAGGATGTCGACAACATAGATTTTACAATATTTACCCAAATAATTACATAACTTTAATACAAATTTATAACACTACCATTTCAGGCCCTTTGAATGACCATAAGCTTTGTCACATGATTCAAACATTTTGTACCTATAATTTCTGTGGGACGTAAGGCGCAGCATGGCATGCCATATCTACAATGCCAAACAGTTTGGGAAGAGTCAAATTGAGCACATGCAAATAACAAAAAGACGTACGAAAATGGGTGGTTCTTTTTTCTTTGTTGTCAAGTTGCTTGTACACATTTCGTATCTACCACTTAAAGCTATAGCCAACATTAGGTTAGACAAGATGGCGCTCACATTTTGAATTGAGGAGAACTTTTCTCATTCTTTGCATGTTTCTCATTCAAATTGAGCACATGCAATCATGTTATGTTTGTGATCAAATTTTATTTATTTATAAATAAGGGTTAGTCTAAGTGGTGATGGCTTGTGGGGGATTTTTTTTTTCTTTTCTTTTTTGGGTTGTTGTTGCTTTTTTTGTGTGTGGTTGTTGTTAAAGTTAAGAAGGAGAGAGGGAAACTCATACATACGGGTACCATGAGGACTTGAACTCAAGACCATTTGAGAGCACATCAAAAGCTTGAACAAATCCAACTAACACCCAATTGGTGATTGTGCTATAATTGATTAGGATGAATATATAGTTCTAAGAATTGATTTTCTCAAATGTAATGAGCCAAAAAAGTAAACAAGCGATTTATTTTGAACTTGGGTGTTTTTTTTTTCAACGTAATTTGGAACATCGAGAAGATAAGTATCATTAAATTAATAATTAATTGATAACTTACTGATAAAATATTTTTTTAAAGTAAGATCCATGTAATTATCCCATGCAACAAAATTTGGACATTAACTTTACTCGATCCAAAACCGTCTTATAGCTAATTCTCCCACCAAATTTCGTTTTTCCTTTCTTCAAGTCATAATTAACTGGGGCCCCTTCCAGTCTACGTAGGCCATGGGTACTTGAGTTGAATAACAAAGACAGAACCGGCGGGATAAGAAATTAGGCCACCGAAGAAAATGTTCCTCCCAATCAGTTCCCGCCACATGGTCTTGATAACCCTCCCACGCGAATCACAGTGCACGCAAATCCCAACCCTCAATTTCCAGCCCTCAGCATATTCTTCCCTCCAGCATATTCTCATCGCGAACCCAAGCCGGCCAATCACGCCTCGCTACCTTACTACATCACGTGCCCCTACCCACGTCATCACCCTCAAGTTTTGTCGTCACGTGCACATCTTACTTGGAAAGTACACGTGTGCCAGCAGGTTCCAGAAACAGAAAGCCCCGAAAATAGCAACCGTTAAATTCTCAGCCCCCTAGACTCTTCTCTGTGGCCTTTTCTTTTTATCCGTAGCTTCGCAAATTCGCATATAGAAGAAGATTCACGAATCAAATTCTCAGAAAACCCTAATTCAATTCGAAGCCTGTGGAATTTTGACACGTGAAAGCGAACACTACAGTCAAAAACCTAGCTCGGACTCCGCCATGGCGAACGAAGGTCAAGCTTCGACCTCCTCCAACGCCTTCTCCTTCATTTCAAAGGGGTGGAGGGAGGTGAAGGACTCGGCTGACGCGGATCTCCAATTGATGAAGCACCGGGCCAACGAGTTTAAGAACCTAGCGACGTCGTTCGACCGCGAGCTCGAGAACCTGTTCAAATTCAACTCGGCGTCGGCGATTCGGTCGTCGCCGCGGTCGGAGATAGACTTCGTCAAGAAGCTACAGCCGAAGCTCTCCGAGTTTCGGAGGGTGTACTCGTCGCCGGACTTCAGCAAGAAGGTGCTGGAGAAGTGGGGCCCGAGGTCCAGGATTCGGATCGATTTATCGGCGATAAAGAATGCCTTGGTATCGGAGGGGGAGAACAGGGATGGGGTTATGGAATTTGATAGGGTTAGGAGGGGGAGGCCTCTGAAGTTTAGTGAGTTTTGGGGTGAGTGGAAAGGAGACGGTGAGGCTGAGGATGAGGAAAGGCAGTCTAATAAGGATTGGGAACCAATTCGGGCGTTGAAGACGAGATTGAAAGAGTTCGAGAAGCGAGAATTTCTTGGTGGGTTTAAGAATAGTGAGTTTGTTGAGAAATTCAAATCCAGCTTGGTATGTTCTCTCTAGCTTCCTTTCTTAATATGTTGCTTTTGGCTCTGAGCACTTGAATTTGTTAACTTTGTATTCTGGTTCTATCGATTTTTTCCCTGTTCATTTTAGATTTTATTTGGTTCATGTTCGTGCTTCAACTTCAGCAGGAATTTATTTTTGGTAGTAGTCAGGAGGAAAATTTGAAAAAAATGAAATCTTGACTGGAGTTGTATTGGAATCATTTATAGGATTCAGGTGGAAGCAAATATTACTGATACAAATAGGTGAGATGCTGTGTTTTGGTGGTGTATGCTTACTTTCCTTGTACATTTTGGGGGGAGTATATTAAGGTTGCCTACTTTTAATAAGGGTAGAGACCAATGGGTGGTTGAATATGCTTGGACCCCATGAGGCATAACATAGAACCTCTGGATAGCTAATTACTAAGTTCTCCTGTACAAAAGAGACAGAGCTGACTCATTTTTTATAATCGTTTGTTCATAAGAAGGTATAGAACAAAATCCTTCAGAGAAGGTTCTGAAATTATGGAAGAGAGTTTTGCATTCAAATTTTATTTTATTTATTTATATAAAAAGACTCCTATTTGCATTCCTCAGTTTGGCTGGAACTGGTATGGCGTTTTGATCAACTACTTTGAATTTTGTAATGCTAAACACCATTAGGGTAGTTCTTTGTTATGCATATATGTTGGGAGTCCAATGTCATTCAGAGCCACAGTTGGCACATTAGATCCTTTAAGTTTTACTTAAAAAAAACACTGTGTGTGTCAATGCCTATGCACTGTGTGATTAGGAATAAATGCTTCAACTTGAGCGTCTAGTGTGAGACGATGCTCCCATCTAGCAAGTGAGGTGTAATTTGATTTGCAATTAATGTATTCTTCTGCACAATTTCATGAAAGGCATGCTAATGATGCCCAACAAATTATATATTGCTTGTCCTCTGAAAGCCATTCTTTTTAGGGAATAAGACACTACATTTCTTGTAGTTGACATCTTAATTTTCCGAGTCTTTTTTTGTGCTTGTGTTCCCTGATCAATGTTTATTTCTTGGTATGCGGTAATAAACATGAGCAGTACATATTCTTACAGCTACTCGTTTCTTCTTCTATTTTCAGAAATCAATGTACAAGGAACCTGAGGAGTCAAAGGTTGGTATTTACCCTGCATTTCTTTTTTGGTTGTCTTGTGTTTTCTTTTGATATGTGGTAATGTCTATGCTAATTTTCCCCTTCTTCTTTTTTTCGACATGATAGGCAGTACCTCCATTGGATGTGACAGAACTTTTGGCATGCTTGGTTAGGCAATCTGAGCCTTTTCTGGATCAACTTGGTGTTAGAAGAAGTAAGTAATTCTGTAAGTTCTGTTTAAAGCTGTTACTGTATAAATGTCTGGGTTCATTTTGGTTTTGTATTTTTTGTAATTTATTCTGCTAGAGTGAAACTTTCATGCTTCTATTAAGTCATTAGATGGGTATTGAAACTTCAAAGTTTGTGTAACTGTTTGGGGTAGTTTATGAAACTTATGGATTCAAACCTTAATTGGACTATTTCCAAGTGAAAAAAAATATGACATCAATCATGGGGTAAACACTGTTCTTTACTCATATCGTGAATATCCTTATCATGAACATGAATCTATCTTGCATATAAAGTTAGGTAGCCCAGGATCTATCACTGTCTAACAACAGTACCCACAAAGGAATATAAAAACAAAGACAATGAAGAAACCAAGATTCAAATGGCTTGGTTGGCGGCCCGAATATTTCCCGTTGAGAATTAGATTTCAATTTTCTTGAAGTAATGACCACTGAACATTTACAATTGGAAAATGACTGCAGATGTATGTGAGAAAATAGTGGAAAGCTTGTGTAGCAAAAGCAAGAACCAACTTCTGCACCCCCTTTCTTCCGGAGAGTCATCTGTTCTAGACAGTGAAAACATAAATGATGAATTAGACTTAAGGATAGCCAGCGTCCTCCAGAGCACAGGGCATTCTTATGATGGTGGGTTTTGGACAGACCATGCAAAGAATGACCCATCAGACCAGAAACGACATGTTGCTATTGTCACAACTGCTAGTCTTCCTTGGATGACTGGAACTGCTGTGAATCCGCTGTTTCGTGCTGCATATCTTGCAGAGTCTGCAAAACAAAATGTTACATTATTAGTTCCGTGGCTTTGTAAATCAGATCAAGAACTAGTATATCCTAGCGACGTCACTTTTACTTCACCAGAAGAGCAGGAAACTTATATCCGTAACTGGCTTGAGGAAAGAGTTGGCTTTAAGGCTGACTTTAAGATCTCTTTTTATCCAGGAAAGGTAATTATTTTAATGACTTTAACCATGCAACTGACATTTTTGCTCATATCAAATTATGGTTGCTAATGGATATGTGGTATTGCTATATATCAGTTTTCAAAAGAAAGGCGAAGCATTATACCAGCTGGAGACACTTCTCAGTTTATTCCGTCCAAGGATGCTGACATTGCTATCCTCGAAGAACCAGAACACTTGAATTGGTACCATCATGGTAAGCGTTGGACTGATAAATTTAACCATGTTGTTGGTGTTGTTCACACAAATTACTTGGAATATATCAAGAGGGAGAAGAATGGAGCTCTGCAAGCATTCTTTGTGAAGCACATAAACAATTGGGTTACAAGAGCATATTGCGACAAGGTATTAGTCAATTCATTGGATTACATGTGCATTCTTTCTCGAATGTGTTGTAGCGTTGTTACTGCTAACTTTATTAGGCGCTTAAGTTTTCAGAAAGATATTTTAGACCAAGGGATGCTTCTCTTGATTTGATGAATAAACTGTTTATATGGTTTTTGTGCAGGTTCTTCGCCTTTCAGCTGCCACGCAGGATTTACCTAGGTCTGAGATTTGCAATGTCCACGGTGTGAATCCCAAGTTCTTGAGAATTGGAGAAAAGGTGGCCGCAGATAGGGAACTTGGACAGGAAACATTCTCAAAAGGAGCATATTTCTTAGGGAAGATGGTATGGGCAAAGGGATACCGTGAGCTGATAGATTTGTTGGCAAAGCATAAGAATAACCTTGATGGTTTCAAGTTGGACGTGTATGGGAATGGAGAGGATGCCAATGAAGTTCAGAGTACAGCTAAAAGCTTGGATTTGAATCTCAATTTTCTGAAAGGAAGAGACCATGCAGATGATTCTCTTCACGGGTAAGGATCTTTTAGGTCTCCGCTGTACAAAAGCATAATGCATTGTCCCCTTACTTTTGGGCCTAAAGGAATCAATTCTTAAAATCTTTTACATTTGACTAAGTTCAGAAATAAACATAAACATACAATTTAGTTATTTGTTTCCCCTTCTCCTGCTAATAATGTTCTCTTTTTTACTTCAAGGTACAAAGTCTTCATAAATCCCAGTGTTAGTGATGTACTCTGCACGGCTACTGCTGAGGCGCTTGCCATGGGCAAATTTGTAGTTTGTGCGAATCATCCATCAAATGAGTTCTTCAGATCATTTCCTAATTGTTTGACCTATGAAACACCTGAGGACTTTGTTGCAAAAGTGAAGGAAGCAATGGAAAGTGACCCTAAGCCCCTTACTCCGGAGCAAAGATACAATCTATCATGGGAAGCTGCTACCCAGAGATTCATGGAGTACTCCGATCTTGATAAAGTCTTGAATAAAGACAACAACGGTGCAAAATCAAGCATAGGCAATGGAAAGAAGATCTCAAAGTCGGTATCAGTGCCTAGCTTGACGGGTATGGTCGATGGTGGTTTGGCATTTGCCCACTACTGTCTCACTGGGAATGAATTCCTTCGACTGTGCACAGGGGCAATACCCGGAACCCGTGACTACGACAAACAACACTGTAAAGACCTTCACCTCTTGCCGCCTCACGTAGAGAATCCAATTTATGGCTGGTAAGTAGATTAGTGGTCCAATCTGACTGTATAATACTAACACATGGTATTTTAGGAGCCTGTTACGCTTATTAGGTAGGAAGGTTTGTTTTCTGTAGGGATGGGATGTATGCACTATTGGAGCACGGATTTTGGTAGATAGTATCCAAGTCCAAGTTTTGTTATCTCATGTTAGTTGATAGAAAATAATTGCCAGTATATATAGTAATGTCATCAAATTGTACTATGCTCTGCTGAGCTGATAAAGACACTTGAGCGCTGCATGTATATTATCAAATATAAGATAATTAATTTCTTCACATTCTTTCGTAGATGGAAAATTGCTTTGAGGGGCGTTATTGCCATCCTCTCACCCTATTCAATTTTACATTTAAAAAATAAAATAAACTAAAAATAGTTGAAACCTTTGTAAAAGTACTTTCAAGAACGGCACCGCATTAGAGCTTTTCTGTAATGGATCTATTGGCTATGTGGCCCAGATTGCAGACCCAAACTCCGGCCTAAAAGCCCATTGCCAAGAACCATATGGGTATAGTATATTCTAACTTATACGTGCGTTGCACGTGCGCCTTAACTATTAGAATGTAGACTAAAGTGGAATGGAGTTCGAGTTCAAAATGACCAAACTAAATTAAAGACTGAAAAGGTGACGCCTTGTTCTTCATGTGATCCCCATTTCCTCAGTCTATGAATACTGACTCTTCGTGCAGCTGAAACTACTAGAACTTTCTGGGGCGATTTCTGACCTTTAATTTGATAAGAATAATATAACAAAATACAACAGACAATAATTAATTTATTATATGCTTGCTTTGTGTGATCAAAATTAGTCTAGCAAAGGGTTTACACATCAGCATAATATGGGATGGCACCACAGTGAAAAAGTAGGCCAAACTATCCACATTCCTCTTAAGCGCATCCGGAATCGATTCACGTAAAAGACAATCTTGAAGCAACCTAATACCGAATGACCCCAAAAAGAAAGCCCTCCCGCATCAGCACCACGTTATTGGTTCTTATGAATCTGCCCTATTTCCATGGATATATTAATTACTCTCTCTAATGGGTCTGAATAATCAATCTTAAATAATGTAATACACTGCTGCAACATGTCATCTTCCCAAACTCTGCAATACGGGACAAAGAAGAAGTTCATAATTTATCTGCCGCAGACTGAGCTGAACTGATTATTCCTCTGATGGTGCTCTCTGAAATGTCTTTTAGCTGTGGGATTGCAGCCACTTTGTCCCAGCCTCCTCTGATAACTTATGCTAAAGATCTATTATATATTAATACAAGTCAATCACATGCCGCAGATGTTCAAGCTAATATTTAATTTATTTGGTAATGGGAATATTTATTTCGCTTGATATAATATACGTCATCATTAGCTTTTCCTACTGAGGAATGAAAGCATGATCTTAATAAGTGGTGGGGGAGCTACGTTTTTAGCTATTATCACTTTGTCTGGATTCATATTAAAAATTAAGCAAGTTGCATTAGGTTAGACAATACAACGATATTAAATTGAGATGGTTAGGGCATATTTATGTGTAGTGCTAATTGTGACTTAATTAACTTTCTAGTGATGGTAGATTCTGGTTAAGGAATCTTTTGGTAGTGAGTGAAGCACTTGAAATGGAAAAAATAAAATATTATGGTTCATATATGTTTATATATCTATTTGACTTTCGTGTTTATGGATCCAACATCAACTAGGATTTGTGGTGGTGGTGATTCCAATTCCGTATAATATTTAGTTATACAAGGCAGATAAAAAAATAGACTTTCTGTATTGAATGTTTTTCATTGCAGAGTAAGAGTATGATTTTCTCATTTAAAAGGAAAGAAGAATGTGATAAATTAAGAAAATGATGAAGATTTAGGGCATGTTTAGGAGTGCGTTTGGAAGAGCTAAAAGTACTTATGACAGCATTTGATAAAAAAAAGTTTAGAAGTACTTTTGGGTCATAGAAGCGCTTTCTGGAGAAGCACTTGAATTTTTTATATAAAAATTTCAACATCTTTATAATAAAAACGCTTTTGTTAGTGCTCATGAGCAGAAGTGCTTCCTAGAGAAGTAGTCCCAAACAAACCTTTAGTTATTTGTTAAATAAAAAAGGCATGGATTTCAATGACTATAACTCAAATTTGATTATCTAACCCAGGATGTATGGTTAACTACAAGAAATTAAACAAGTTCAATATGAAGAATCTGATTATAAGTCAAAGATTTAGGATACAAAAAACATGAACACAGACACCAGTCTCAATTAATCCCCTCCTCTCTCGGAAGGGGACAAGACAACAACACCCACTTGTATGGGAGTGAAAAACAACTCATGCCTCCAAATCCCACCATGATCTCAAACTCTTATGTTGTTTTAATGTTTGAGAGGCGTACTGTGGACATGTTTTCATCACCTCAAATTCAAGTATTTTTAAAAAGTATTAGAGCCTTCCGCTAAGCACTATTGTTAATTTTCTTTCTCTTTTTCTTTTGTTGGCCGTCGGGCCAGCATCTTTGGAAGATTCCAGATTTTGAGTTTGATTTGGTGATTTTAGGGTGCGAATTGAAATTTTATTTTATTTTGGTCAAAGAAATGAAGATTTCATTTCATTACCTTAGCAAGTTACGAACAAGCCACAACAAACAGAACAATAAAATAAAAGCACAACCAAATTAGACCTACTAAAAAAGTTGGACCCTCAAAATGGTTTTTTACCGAGTGCATTTGTGTGTTCAAATAAAATCAGGATGCATGCCTTTGGTCAGAAATTGCTAGGCAATTAAGAACCAACCAAGAGCCATTTAGCCCACAATACGAACCCACTAACCATATATAAAGATATATGCAGTTTGGCCTTTAGGAATTTCGATGGACATTTCTCTTCCTCAGTTCCTCCATCTGGTTCACTTCCACTTAGTCAGGGTGTTAACTGTTAAAGCTCATAGATCTCTACCACTTCGCTTTCACGATTCTCAGAACTAAGACTATTTGAATCCATCGTTTGCAATAGAAATTCACACAGTGAAAGCATGTTATAGAATACAAAATATTACTTTAATTTATGTGTTTTATTATTAATTTCAATATATTTAAATATTCAAATTTTATAATTAATGAAGGGAACTTTAATCTTCGCTATAACAATGACGTGCACAACGCTTTTTGTCCTTGGCTTCAAATTTCTTTGTTCATTGTTTACACTTCAGTTTGATATTTACTAACTTTCTAATGTGGGACATATTCACCTTAATATTCTCAAACGTCTCGGCATGTGTGGCAAATTCTGAAGTCTAACATTGGAACAACACATGTTGTAACTTCTATGACATGGAGTATGTGTAGCTGTTGGGTTTATTTCACATGTGGACTAACCCGCTCTGATACCATGAAAGAAGTTAAGATTCCACGTTTAAACCAAAGCTCCCTTAATCTTATGGTCCAGCATTACCCAAAATTAGACTCTTCTGGAGAGTCCTTTTTTTAACTTTTAGCTTTCAATGTTCATAGACATTGCGAGGTAATTAAGAATGACAAATTCAGTTTGTTTTGAACTCTTCTTTTGAACTAATATTAAAATCAAAGTTCTTTTTTATTTTTATTTTTAAAAGTACCTTTCTGAAAGGTGGAAGACATCAGATAGCAAAGTCTTCTGCCCATTCTACTAAGCAAATAGTGGCAGGCTTTTGTTACAAAAGATTGAATACAAAAATGGGGAAATATTGATAATATGCCTTCCCAATGAAAATCCCACAATTTCTTTTGTGAAATTACAACAGAGTTGATCATCATACTCAACAAAATAAAAGTATACAAGTTGAGTATTTTCAACCCAATTACATGTGTCAGAGTAACAAAATATTTACACTTCCTCACTTTGGTTCTGGGCCTTTAGGTGCCATGTTTAATATTTCCTGTACTGTGATTATAACATGGGCACTTTCACCATCTAAAAGCACAGGATTTACACTTCCCCTGTGAAGTAACTGTGGCTTCTCTGGTGAGACAGTGGGCTCCACTACTTTTTTGAAATGTGCCAGTTCAGAAAGCTCATGAACTGATTTGGAAATTTTTTCTGCACCTTTGACAATCTCAACAAGAATTGAGGCAACTGCTGCAGCTGGCACAATTGCAAGGATGTCTGCATTTTCCAATGATGCAGCTTTCAGAGCAGTTTTGAGGTCTTTGACTGCAGTTTTGGACTTCTCCAAATGTTCACAAGCATGTTTTGGTTCCTTCATGGTTTTGATTGCTATGGCTAATGCTTTTAGGGCCTTTCCAGTCTCAATACTCATTGTTCTGCAGGAGTCTTGAATTATCTTTAAAAATTCTGGTGGAACCTGCAAGGATAATATAATTAATATTGATTTTTCTTTTGTTAAATATTTTAATTAAATCATTGATCCTTAAGAGTATGAAGATTTGATACATACTTGTACATTTGAGTTGATGTGGCCATTTAGAGTTTCGATCTGGTAGGCGCATTGCCGGGCAAGAGCACCTATCTTCAAGTATTGCTTCCATGGATGGCGAAATTTAAAACGGCCATGTCCTGGTTCCCATCTTGCAAAATTTGCCTGTACATGTATACAATATCTATACATCAGAAATGGCTAGCTAGATATAGCTATATATATGTTAGTGGCTTGCATGCCAAGGTAAAGAAGAAAAATGATGCTGTAGTACTCACCAAGGATTCTTCAGTGGTTTTCGAGTTGAGGACACTCTTATATCCTTGAAGAAATGAGTCCTCATTTTTGGGGACCATGCCACAATTTCCATCCTTAGGTGTTTGAAAATATTCACCTCCAAATCCTGTAATTAATTTCCTCATTCTCAGTTAATTTTTGAACATGTTGAACACCAAAAAAGAAAAAAAGGAACTAGAGCCAATTTTAGAATTTAGCTTACCTTCTAGGCAGTTTGCAAGCTTTTCTATATTGGAAGCTATCAGCTTGTGCAGATCTTCGCCAGCCCATACTGGACAAAGAAAAACTGATATGATCATGCAAGTTCCTCCACCTATTATGATTGTCAAGAGTCTTTCATGAGCCATTTCCAAGAGCTCTTCAACACGATACCCTGATATGGTTACCATACTGAATGTCAAGATGAATATCAACACTCCAT